GACGGGTTTCAAGTGTGAAAAAACAAAACCGTACACCGTTATATTTATCCTCTTTTGATTTTTTTTATTTTTGATGCGTACAATCACGAAATTGGTACTTTTTCAGTTATCGCCAAAAAAGGGAAGGCAAAGTTGGGTTTATAGAGCAGATATGGTGTGGGGGGGGCGGGGGGGGAGGTAGGTATAGGGCTAGGATTAGGTTTAAGGTTAGGTAAAACTTTTAAAGTCAAATTTCACAAGAATTTTGAAAACAAAATTTTTATTATTACAATTTTGATTTTACAATTTTTTTTATTACATCTGTTAACCGTATGCAACTCAAGTTCAAGAAAACGTGGGAGATGCTTCTTAAAGGCAAATCCACTAAAAGGCTTTACCAGTTCCTCTGGCTTCTATAGAACGGAAACCCAGTCTAAAGTTGCTGGGTGTAACTTTTCAGTCCGATCCGTGTAACTGGGATTTACATTTGGATAATATACCATCGAAAGCTAGTAGTCGTTTGTACATCTTACGTGTTTGTAAACTCTATGGATTGCTGTTGGATCATCTTCATCTTCTTTTTACTAGTCTGAAGTATGGGGCTGCGCGTATTATATCATAAGTACTTAAGTTGCATAGACAGGCTGTTCAAGAGGGCTATTAAGCTTGGTTAATGTAAAGAACTTTTTTTAATTGAAAATATTATTGCCCTGAAAGATGAGAAGTTATAGGACAAGATCTCCGACAGCAACTCAACGACAGCTTTGGATGACCTTCTGCCACCGGAGCGAACTATGGTTACGTTACGTATAAAGAGGCGTCATAACTATATTCTTCCGCCTATCAGAACTGAGCGTTTCAAGAGAAGTTTTGTAAATAGATGTTTGTTCTCTAGTTAGTTAGTTAGTTCGTTAGTTAGTTAGGTAATTAATTATCTGTATGACTAAATTTATATCATTGTAACTAAACACGTCTGTTGTTCAGAGTGTTTAATATAGACCTTTATTGTTATTATTATTATTACTATTATTATTAACACAGATAAAATTCTGAAAAACCATGTGTAAGATGACTCTTTGTGAAATTTGACATTCATTTTTTCGGGCTCCCGTGAGAAATTGTCTTTGGTGTTATTACAGATAACTAATTATATCTTTAGCCTTTGAAAATGTGATAAAGAAAGCAATATGCTTTAAATTAAACTGTATCGTGGTACAAGGTTTTCGTCAGGAGGCGATTCCTGTTTTTGTCCAATGAAAGTTAAAATTACTCAATTTCCTAGAGGATTCTGTCTTTTATCAGGGGCACCCAGCGACTTTTTTCTGTAAAATAACGGTTCGAGGGAGCAAATATTGCCTAGAAATTTCTAACACTTGTGAAAAGCTGAAACTTTCTGGATAACCGTTCCATTCGTCTAAAATATACGACATTTTCTGATAGCTTAATAAGATATTGCGATTATTGTTAAAAAAGGTCTCTTAAAACTTTCGGTGCAGAGACAAAAAGGCCCCTAAAATTTACGAACCAAAGCAATGCTACTTCATGTCCTCGTACTTTCCACCGGACCCATAGGGTAGCTAACACTTTCGAATTAGATGAAAAGTCACCTAAAACTTTCGTGACGACCAAAGGTCGCCTAAGACATCCGAACAGTTAATTTTTAAATAGTTTTTAGGGCAACTCCAAAGTAACTAAACAGGCCTCTAAAGCACAGAGAAAACCATTTGAGACACTTCTGGCGTATTTGGAAACATTCGGTCGTTGGGTGCCCCTGTTTTATACTACTACATGACAAATTTCTGCAATTTGATTGGCTAAGTGCAGTGGTATTTCAGCTTAATTTGAAATACCTACATGTGAAAATTACAAAACCCTTTGCGGGTAGTAGTAGGCAAATAATAGCATAATTTGTACGTGATATTTGGCATAAATACCACTCGTGATATTTTAAAATTGTCTCAAATTTCACTCCCCTAACGGCTCTTGAAATTACGTATAACAATTTCGAAATATCACTCGGGTTATTTATGCCAAATATCACTACAAATCATGCTATTACCTATACAAATAAATACAGTCAATCTAAAACGCAATAAATTCATAACCAGGTTAAGCCAAGCTAAACAACCATATAAGTGTAAGTACTTTGAAACTGGACCTTCGATCTTGTCCGAGAAGACTAGAAAGTCTATCCGTTTGCAGATGTCATTACAAAGGCAAAACTTTCTTCTCAATTATTTAAAGACCCTGAATGCTCAGGTCCGGCTGGGGTTTGAACCCGCGACCTCCCGCTCAGCAGACCGGCGCTCTGCCCAACTGTGCTAACTCCAACTCACTCTTTATAATTATGCTTCCAATCGTCACCTGAATGGCTTCCTTTCCTTACTTGCCATCTTTCATAGTCCTGACGAACTTTTCGAAGGATTTCTTTCTCTAAATGATCACAATGCGTTGGGACTCAGTGTAATATCAGCCGATGATGTTCTTGTATTCTGACTTCAACGTGAACCAGTGCGGTACAACTAACAATAGATAACAACAGGCCTGACGCCGAGAGCAATCTGTCTAGTTTTCTTCCTTTTTTTTTTTTTTTCTTTTTTTTTTCTTTCTAACTTGTTGCTGTTGTTGTTGATTTTCTCTTTGTTTGATTTTTTTGCCTTGAAAGATACCGTATACAAGGCTTGGATGTCAATAGCCTAAACATAAAAGACCAATAAATGGGATGGATAAAATCTGTTTTGTCTGTAAGCTGGACATATTTGACCTTAAAGCAAAGTAGAGGTGCAAGTTTTCTAATTCCCCGTGCGGCTCTTATGCTTTTGACAGCATATATATTTGAGGTTATGGGCGCGATCCATTCAACAAAAATTTTCGGAAATTTCGGTCTAAATCTCAATGGATCGGTTCGGTCCAACCGGAAAAATTTCGAAAAAACGGTTCCACCTTTTTGAGGTGGACCAATTTTCCCAATCAGACCGGTTGGAATTTTGGTTGAATGGATCGCGCCCTATGTGATTTCCAATTAAAATCGCTTTTTGAAGCACTCTGGTGATTTAAGATATAATACGTTCACGATGTGCCATAACACTTTAATTTTCCCAGAGTATGATAACCTTTTTCGTAACGGCTAACATCCCCAAACCTGAGCTGTACTACGGGAAGCTTTGTCTTGTCAGTAAGGAGGCCACTGTCTTCGCGCCATACATTGTCATTTGAATCACAGTTGCAAGCATCACTGGGGATTGCACATGAGTTGGTCATCCCGCATGCGCACTTACCACTGCCAGGTGTTGCTCCGCCCCAGTACCTCATCTTAGTAGAATCACGTGAGATCCACCAGGCAGCTGAACTTTGAAACTCCAAACGCGAGTGATAACACTCGTACTTGACAAACTGCTCGCAGTGGGAGGAGATTCTGGTGAGACTAGCCAACTGAGAAAGACTCGCTCCTGGGTAATGAATGTCACGAAGACGCTTTTGTGGATCCACAAGTGTCCTGCTCTCACTGTCGTGACTGATGACAGTCACGCCAACTCCCTTCTTATCATTCATGTCGCAATAAACGGAAAACGGTGCCAGACCACCCTTGCCATCAGGATCAATGACGTAATTTCCGCTTCCACTGCGGACATATTTTCTTATCTCAGAACAGGAAGCAGCTCTAACTGGGATATTAATTTTGACTTTAGCCTCTATTGTTTTCACAGCATTAGTCGCTCTACAGAAGTAGTATCCTTGGTACGAATTCTTAATGTTTTGAATCACAAGGGTTCCATTCTGTAAAACAAAAAATTCCCCAGGAAGTGAAAACTTGCCATCCCTTTCCCAGGTAATTCGCGGCCTCAAATCACTCTCGGCTACACAAGGCAATCGTAGAGTTGAACCAAAGCTAGCAGGAGTCACTTCTTGAGGAGGACGGACTTTGAAGCGCAAAGGGGAGAATATCATTAGTAGAGCCACGACAGATACTGAACCGAGAATATTTTTAGCCTTGCAAATGTATGTTCCACCATCGCTTTTCGTCACTTTGTAAATTGTCAAGGCTCCTTTCACCACGGTGGTTCTTCCTTTCTGCAAAGTTCCAACGGCTTTTAGCCACGTGACCTTAGGCTGCGGCTGACCAGAAGCGTTGTAGAAGATTGTTACGTTTTGCCCCTCTTCCGCCATAAGTCGACTAGATAACCAAAATAGTCGAGGATGAACTGGATAAAATGAAAGAAAAAAGAAAAGAAAGGTGATTTTATAAAAGAAAACAAAGCTTTTCTTGGAAAATCATTAATTCTCAAACAGTTGATCCACTTAACAGCTACTGCCTTTTTAAGTGTGTAAACGAGCTCGTTGCAATGATCTATCTGAAATTGTGTCAAAAAACCCTTCTGTAAGTTACTGCTGAGCGTTGTTTCAGCAGATAAAACTGAAATTGCATTCTCGACATCACTATTTTCATACTATGGGACTAAAATATCCATCTTTGCTAAATATATGAAGCGAAGAGACACGAACTAACCCCCACAATTTTTACATATTCAATTAATGGCTTCTCTTACTAGATGAAACAGTTTTTGTCTCTTTAAAAAAATCAAACTACCTGTCCTAACCCCAGCTAAAATTTATAGAATTTCTGCTACGGAAGGACCCAAATCGTTACAGAATAATGACAACTCAAATAAGGCAGCTCACACTGAACAATCAGTTTTGCTGAATGGTTGACGCTTCCCAGCAAATTCTCAGCTCGACAGTTGTACAAACCCTCGTCTCCAGGCCTAACGTCCTTCAAAACTAGAGCACCACTGGACTCTACCAGGTGACGTCCCACTGGAAGCGAAGAATTCATCTTTGACCATGTGACTTGTGGTGTTGGATTACCGTCGGCTGTACATTTTAAGAAGGCAGTCTGACTTTCGTTCACTATGGTTTCAACAGGACGCTGTAGCAGAGATGGAGCCGAGATGGAGTGGCCCGGTTCACCTTTTGCGCCTTTTTCACCTGGGGGGCCTCGAGGCCCCAAGGGACCAAGTACACCCGGAAGTCCGAGATCCCCTTTTACGCCCATTGGCCCTTGAGGTCCTACTGATCCACGTTTACCAGGAGAACCTTGGGAACCTGGTCTACCTCGGGTTCCAGGTCTTCCACGTCGTCCTCTGTTCCCTTTTGGTCCTGAGCGGCAGAGCTTTTCATCTTTAGCACAGATTTGGTTTTGCAGCAGACGAAGTTCTTCTTTGACAAGCAATTTTACTTCAGCCGATGTTTGAGTCGATTTATTTTGTGCGTTGCTCACTGATGCCCGCCTTTGTCTTGAAACGTCTTCTCTTTGACCTGGAACATAAGTTGAGAAACTCAAGTGTAAACATTACGCACCTGATGATATAAAAAGGTCCTTCAGATAAACTTTCAGCCCTGCATGAATTACCGATAAATATAAACATCAAAATTTCTTACAAATTAGTTTGCATGCTGTCGAAGTCCCTGAGGGGATAGTGGACCTGTATTTGGGTATAGGTGAACGACTGATGATTTGAAACCCTGACCCTGCTTAGGACAAAAAAATCCTAAAAAACATACACTGTTTAGGAGAGACTTGCTCGAGATTATATACCCTGTTTAGGACAGAGAGGTCAAAAACCATACCCTGTCCAGCGGTACATCCCTGTATAGCCCATATAAGGGAGTACCCCCGTGGTCGAAGGCAGTCAAGGGATTAATACGGACCACGTGTTATTTATGTTTTCTTTTGATTTCTATGTCCACTTGCCTGGAAACAGTATTCTTAAGAGCATTACCGTAAAGTTTCCAAAGTAACGACCCCCCGAAAGTAGCGACCCTCCAAAAGTAGCGACTTCAAAAGTGATTTCCCTCCTTACTAGAATTAACGGAAATTATAGTTAAAACAACGAAACTAATCCGCGATTTATGTTTTTAAGGTTATAATGATCGATCTTTGACACTCCTTCATGTAACTCAAATAGGACATAACATCTTTTGTTTTTTCAAAAAGCCTTCCTTTGGTCTTTGAACACCCACACCGTAATCAAACAATTCTTTTGCACATTTATTTAAAAAGCAATAACATGAAATACGTTTCTCCAAATAAAGAGTGTGGATATTTTCAGAATTGTCGCGATATTACTATAATCGTAACCAATTAACAAGAGAGTTATCCTGTGTTGTCGTAACTTCGTACGGCCCATGTACGATACACGTTTTAGCTACCCGAAAGTAGCGACCTCCTGAAAGAAGCGACCCTTCGAAAGTAGCGATAGAAAAAGTCTACTAAATCCGAACTGAGTAACGAGGGTCGTTACTTCCGGAACTTTACGGTATATTGGAGATCTGAACTGGATGTACTTGTTGTCTGCAAGGTTGCGTTAAAAATTCAAATACTTGTGAAAAGGAACTTATAAATCAAGCCTCCGGGCGTGACATCCCGCGCTGATATACTTATGGCAACTAAAAGTCAACAATACAAAAAGTAACACAACTCACCTCTTGTCTTCTGCCATTCACCTTCCAAATGGCTGCCTCTGGCTTCTCGCCATCTTCCGTACTCCAGCTGAACTTTTCGAAGGATTTCTGTTTCCATTTCGTCTCGGAATGTTCCAGAGGTAGAGTGTGATATCAATCGATGATGTTCTTGTGTTCTGAGTTCCACGTGAATTATAGCGAGACAACAAAGAACAGACAACAGCAAGCTTGACGTGGAAAGCAATCTGTCCAGTTTTCTTTCCTTGTTCGTCTGCTCTGTTTCACCGCCCTCATGTCCCATGTCTCTGCTTTTTGTGGTGTAAGACTTAATCAAGAAAACAGAAAAGCAGCAATGTCTTCCGGAGTCTTCTAATACAAACCGGCCTTTTATGTGAAAACTAAGAACTGGGACGAAGGAAAAAGGACTGTACTTTATTATTGTCTCTGCTCCGTTGACTGTAACCCCGATTGTAACCAGCTGAACGCTAGCGTAAGTGATAAATAACACACCCTCCAGCGCTAGAGGAAGTCATGACTATTTTAGAGATGTGTTTGGAAAAGTTATTTGACAAGAACGAGGAAATAGTGCGTCTAGTTTACTGCCCCCCGGGGGGGGGGGGGGTACTCCCATTTTTGACAAAGATGGGTATGTGACGCTGAACAAGCCATGGTATTCATATTCAAGGTCTTAAGTCTTAAACAGGATAAATAACTTCACTACTTTTTCTAATAGCATTTTGAACAGATTGTCTTTTTGGATGGAAGCCTTTTAGAAGAGTGTGAACCTTGGCGACAAGTGATCTACATGTATGGTGCCAACCATGTTTTTTTTAGTTTCTATTATCATTCCATGATGTTAATTTAAAAAATTAACTAATTCTGTGCGAAAAGAAATGAGTCAGGGTCATGAAATTAAGTCTACTTGTCTTAAACAAGGTAACGAAATGAACGACTTTTGTCTTAAACAGGGTCAGGGTTTGAAGGCCTCGGCGGCACACCACTACCCAAAACTTTCTTTTGAGTGTCCCAGTCCCGAGGTTTCTGCACTCCTTTGTCTGCTTCTCTTTGGAACTCTCAGGCCTCATATCTCTGCTGTTCTTCGTGTAACAGTTTATCAAGAGAATGAAAAGGAGTAATAACTGACAACGTCGATAAAATCAGTCTTTGAAGGCTGGGACTTAAGATGAAGCTTAAAAAAATAAGGTCACGTTGTTCGTCACTTTACAACTGAAGTGTAACCTGAACATTAATGTAAATCGGTGTTGATTACAAACAAGTACAGGGAAGTAGCACTGGCTTCAGTGCAAGGGGAAGTCTTGAATTTCTTGAGTCAAACTAGCCCCTATCATTGCCGAGATGACTGTTTCACTTTCGTGTCATTTACGATCATCTCTAAAACAACTGTGAAGTGTTCTTGACCGTAACACCGGGGTACCCACCGGGAGGGGGGGCGGTACTTGGGTTAATTTTTGCTGGGTATGTGCCGCTGGCCTCTCAAAACCCCTACCCCATTATTGTCAATTCTGTGGCCAAATATAGACCCCATCTTATTCACTTTTGGGAAAAATGTAATTTTCGCAATCCCAACTTACAAAATAATATTATTTTACGGAAAAAGGTGTCTGGCGTAGACAAGGTTGTGAATTTAGAGAACTTTTCAAGATTCAGTACCAAATAAAGAAATCACTTACTTCCCAAGGACCTAAACTGAATTCAAAGACTTTTCAAGACGACTAATAACATTCAAGACCTTTTCAAGAATGTACGAACCATGTTCACAGGAAATCCTGTCTGTTCAGGGTTAAATGTCAAGTAACGTGCGTCCCTGCTTTTGTGATCTATTTCGTCCGTAATTTATATCAATAACGTATCGTGAATACGTGAAAGAACTTGGAAGAGAAGAGACCTGGATAAGAAGAGTTTGGTGGGGTAAGAAAGGACGCGAAAAAGGAAACTGATGATATCGCAATGTTTAACCTTTTTATTCTCTTTAATCACTTGATAAATAAGTATGGAATTTAAATGCCTGTAAAAACAGTTCATGGACGTGATAAATCATTGCAAATCGACGTGTAAACTTGAGCAAAAAATAAAGAACCTTTGATCCTTCAGCTTCTTTATAAACATAAACATAAGCGACGAAAACAATTTCTCCCATGGTGACCTTCTCGAACCAAGGAAGATTTGGATGACGTCACGAGTAAATTGTTATGACTTCCCGCCCCCCTCCTCGCACCATTAATACTCGATCCAGTCCTTCCGTTAGCTCGTCCAAGAACTCCATATCTGTTGTTTTCGAGTCAAGAATGAAAACTAAGACAAATTGACGGATAAATTCCCTTTGATTTTCAGTCAAGATAAGGGTTAGCATTCCATAACACGGTAAGACATTGTAACAATGCGCCCTGCGCCCTTTTATAAACAATTTCGTACCTAATTCTACAACGGTTAGGCGGAAGGGACATCTTCCATATCCAAGCCTACGGACGAAGAGGGAGTTTGGGAGACCGCTATTGATGTAAGGCGGATACACCTTTTACTCAAACAGAGGGAAGTGGTATATGTACAGTTGCCAACGTGTGAATAAGAACCAGTGACCACCGTTTACAAAAAGCACGTGGGAGCTGCTTTTTGTTTTGTTTTGTTTTTTCAGTCAAAAAGTTCTCTAGTGTCCAATAGGGCAGGAGAGGAGAGAAGAAAAGGCAAGAAAGGGAGGGGGGGGGGGGGGGGGGGGGAAGGGGAGCGGTCCCCCCCTTTTTTCTCTCTTAAATTTCCCCTCCCGCGGCTCTTTTCCCTTGGCGCCGGGGAGGGTCGGGGGGGGGAAAAGTAGAATTCCCGGGGGGGCCCATGCAATATAAAAAAAAAAACTACATCGTAAGAGTACGCTAATGA